AACATATTTAGGAAATTACACTAATATCGCACTTGAGATCAAGAAGAGGTATTTCCATGAGTCTCTCACAAATGGATGGGCATGTAGGAGGGAAATTTCTGCCAGGCGATATGGACTACAGTGATTAGCTCTGGTTTCGGAGCTAGCGGAAATGCTTCAGCTAATAGACACATGGCAGGTTCTTTCAGGACAGAAGCACACCTCCCTGGAAAGCCATCCTAGAAGTCCAGTCTCCCTGCCACGCTGTCCTAAACACCACAAGAAACCGAGAGACATCTCCAAGTGGCCTTCTTAACAAAGAGCCTACAACTCTTTTGGTGCATGGAGAACTCACACTTGCATATGCTTAATGGTCGTTCGTCCAGGCTGAACCTCTCTAGTCTGGCATCCTCAGGACCTGACCAGTGCTGAATCGGAGACTTTGCCGAACTACTGAAGGTCAATATGGTCTAGCACCGTGGTCCCCAACACGGTGCCCGCAGGCACCATGGCGCCCACGGGGGCATTTGCAGGCGCCCGCCAGGTGCTCGGGGCTGGCCTGGCCCCGGGCACATGGCACACAGTGAGCGCCGGCCCCGGGCGCGCAGCCCTTGGAGGGGGCACCGGCCCCGGGCGCGTGGCTATGGGGGGGCCCTGCCCCCGGGGATGGACATCCCCGGGCGCTCAAGTGTCCCCGCCCCCTGGCGCCCAGCGGGCAAACAGCCATGCCCCCTGGCGCCCGACAACCTCAAAAGGTTGGGGACCACTGGTCTAGCAGCATCACCAACGTTTCCGCTGCTTGCTGGGTCAAAGACATTTAGAGTCAAATTCGAGTTAAATAACAGGCTAGAACATTGAGAGACAGGACTGGTGGCTGTAAACACACTTGAGGGGACCGCCGGAAAGTTGGCTGATAAATGGAAATCCGGTTAACGAAAACCAGGCCGGACCCTGGATGTTGCCAGTGTGGACTAGAGAGGTTCGACCTCTTTGCGCCCACCTCGACTGTACGCGTGCAAGCCTAGCTTTTGTGAACACTGAAGAAATGATCTGCCATACCCATGGACATACATTAGGAAGTTGGGAGGAACGTGGATCCAAGAGAGAAACACACGGAGGGCCTGACTTTGACTCCTCTTGCACCAGTGACGTGCTGTTCCTAACTTCCAGGGAGGGGGGTAAGAAAAATCCAAACAGAGATCCATAATGTCAGATCCACTTAACCGCAGCTTTACCCAGATTAAACCCATCGGATCCCTAAACAGGCCACAAACTATTTAGCCACTGAATTAAAACCACACCTTACCCAGGAAGTGGGCAAAACCAGGGATGTTTTGTCTTATCCCTGTTGGGCTGGTGTGACTCATTTGATTAGATGCATATCTGACAACAGCACCAGATGAGCAATCAGAGCAGATAATTACCTGAAAGCGACTGGAACGTGGGTGAGAGGCCACATAGTCTGGGACTAGGGTTAGCAAGGGCACAGTGAAACAGACGCAGCACTGCAGCCTTGAGAACGGTTTGGTGTCATGGCAACTGAAGGCTTCATCCTGAACGCGTCAGTGGGAGCCGCTCAGACACGGTTGGAAGGCGGCACTGGGGTTTCAGTGAATTAATCTGATAAATATCCCTGCCCTCTCCAAGATAGGATCGTTTGCTTACACAGCATCTATATTGCGGCATGAGGTCGTGACGCAAGGGCAGGAGGATGGATATGAGTTAAGTCTGTGTCACCCCCCAGGTGTGTGGGTTACATTTGCCCTCTTTTGGTCATGGGCCTCACCCAAATTTAGAGCCTCTGTCCCTGATATAAAGAAACATAGGGTCAAATCTGCTGTCTCAAGCAACGGGGTTCATTGAGTTCAAGGACAATTCTCACCACAGCCAATGTGAATTATCCATTTTGCTGGGGCACAAAGGAGAATTGCCAGAAAACTCAAGGATAGGCAGACTGTCAAACTCCTGGCATTCCTCAGCCAGGGATGCTCCAAAGGGTTGTGTTTGCTGTACATCTGCACACGTGCACCGAAGAATCCCCCGGCACTCCCCCTCCGCCCCATTCAGTGCCACTTCTTTTTATTGCACGTCGTTAAATGTTTTTATCATGGGTAGTTAAATGTTTATGTGCTTTTATCTGCCCCATGCGGAGTATTTCCTCCTAATGAGCTATCCCGTGACTTAGTAGTGGGATGCGATTTATCAGCCCTCCGTTTTGTGACTTGCCCCCCCTTTCATGGAGGAAGAGTATAAATGTTTGTCCTTTTTTTTGTTTGTTTCAGTTAACTAAATAATCTGGAATGGGTACAGAAAGTCGTTCCTTCCCCCCCATTGTCTCAACGTGGGGACCATTCAGCACCAAAATAAAATGAATCAGAGCTGTGATTAATAAGGGACAGCATAGGAGCCATGCGCTAAGGAGAAGCTATTTCTCTGTATGTTATATAAGCAGCCAGGTCACTGGTAAATGAAGCAGCTTTGGGGCTGGAAATTCACACAAACAGCTCGCCAAAGAATCTTAACTTCTTTTCCCCTACATGCTCTGCTAGCAAAGCGCATGGAGTTCCTCGTCTGAGCTCTGATGAATTCCTCTACTGGCTGCCTGCCAAGCGGCACACACCCACAGAAGTGGAACTTACCTAGAAGCACTGAAATCATGATCAGAGTAAAGAAAAGAATAATACTTTGCCTTTCTCTGCAGCTTCCAACCAACCAGCTAACTCTGTGCTTTATTAAGGGAGTACACTAAACTTTGCAAAACGGTTGTGCTACAGGTACAAAGAAAAGCACGTTGGAAAACTTAATTTCCCCACTCCATAGAAAATGATGGGGTTAGCTGGCATCACTCAACAGAGAGATCTTGCATGTCATTGTGGATAAGTCGCTGAAAACATCCACTCAATGGACACAGGCTTGTAGGAATCATTAACTAAAGGGATAGAAAATAAACAGAAAATAGCATTTCCATTGATTTAAAATATTTGTATCCCACCTCTGTATTTAAAATATTCGAGGCGGCTTACAAAAATTTTTAAAAACACAATAAATAAATGTGTATAAAAGTAAAATGCAATACCCCGGGGGGGGAAGGGGGAGGATATAAAACCTGCTATATGCCTCTATATAAATCCATAGTAAGCCCACGTCTTGAATCCTGCACAAATGTGGTTACCACGTCTCAAAAAGATATACTGAACTAGGAACAAGCACAGAAAAGGGACCACAAAAGATGAGGCGTATGGAACGGCTTGTTAACTGGTTAAACATGTTGACTGGTTAACTGATTCAATGGCGGCATGCACGTGGGGGGGGGGGACGCTCCAGCCCAGCTGAGCTGCAGTGCCTCCCACTCCCACACACCCCCCCCACCACCGTAGCTGGCTTCGAGTATCTGGCCATCCAGTGGGAGTGAGAAGGTGCCATGCAGCCAGGGAAGGACCCGGGCATGGGGGTTGGCTGCCTTTGAATTAAGAACATCAGAACGGGCACACTGGGTCGGACTAATGGTCCATCTAGCCCAGTATCCCGTCTGCTGACAGTGGCCAATGCCAGGTGCCCCAGAGGGAGTGAACAGAACAGGGAATCATTGAGTGATCCCTCTCCTGTCTCCCATTTCCAGCTTTTAACAAAGGCCAGGCACACTATTCCTACCCATACTGGCTAATAAGTGTTGATGGACCTACCCTCCATGAATTTATCTAGTTCTTTTTTGAACCCTGTTGAAGTGCTGGCCTTCACAACATCCTCTGGCAAGGAGTTCCACAGGTTGACGGAGCGCTGAGTGAAGAAAAAGTTCTTTTGGTTTGTTTTAAACCTGCTACCTATTCATTTCTCTGGGTGACCCCAGTTCATGTAAAAGCGTAAATTAAAACAATGAACGGTCCTGCAGCACATTAGAAACTAAATAAAAAAGTAGCTGGTCTGAGACCCTAGTTCTTGTGTTATTGGAACAAGTAAATAACTTTCCCTTATTCACTTTCTCCACGCCAGGCATGGTTTTATAGACCTCTATTTTATGCTCCCTTCCTCACCGCCATTTAGTCTCCTCTCTTCTGAGCTGAAAAGTACCAGTCTCATTAATCTCTCTTTATATGGCCCCCGTTCCAAACCCCTCATCATTTTTGTTGCCCTTTTCTGAACTTTTTCCAATGCCAAGATCTCTATTTTTGAGATGAGGTGACCACATCTGCATGCAGTACTCAAGATGTGGGCGTCCCACGGATTGATACAGAGGCAATAAGAGATTCTCGCTTAGTCTTTATCCCCTTTTTATTGATTCCTAATTCCTCCTGGGCTTCCAGGGAGAGCAGGCTGCAGCCTGAACTCTGTCAATGTTAGCAGCAAGGAATCTGGTGGCACCTTACAGAGCAGCCATTTGATTATGACAAACTTAGCTTCCTTGACGCTTTTGCTGAAACAGACTAACACGGCTCCCCCTAAAACCTGCCTGTCGACAGGCCCGGCCCACAACATTTTGGCACCTGAGGCGGGGAGCTCAAATGACGCCCCCATGCCTCCTCGCTTGGGCCAAAACTTTGAAAGGTCTCAATTCTGCCTTCTTCCTGGTCTACTCCTCTCATGGCACTCCCCCATCTCTGTGCATCTAGAGCAGAGAGAATACAGATGCACCAGCAGCAGACACAACTGTCTACACTCCGGGTCCTAATGGTGCCCCTCCCCCCACAGTCTGGCACCTGAGGCGGCCGCCTCAGTTTGCCTCATGGTAAGGCCAGCCCTGCCTGTCGACGTTGCAAATGGTGCTGGGTGGTCTTACCCGCTCCCTGCAACCACCAGGGAGGGAGTGTTACAGGCATGGGAGCATCATTTGAGCTCCCCGCCTCAGATGCCAAAATGTTGTGGGCCGCCTCCTGGTTCTGCTGTGTGGGTCACAACTGAAGATGGCTGACCCAGCCCGCACAGGAATCAGACTCTGATACCAGCAGCCTCCCACCAGAAATTCTCTCCTCAGAGTTCAGAACTAGCCCAAGGCAGTTTCAAACTTCTTCAATATTTAATTTCAGATCCGCATCGCTCCCCGATCTGATGAGTCAATCTGCCTGCAGAGACAGCAACGTTGCACCCAGCCTGATTCTATGCCAGTGTGTGGGGAGTTTCATATGTAAATTGGGTCACCCAGATTGAAAGCATTTTTAAAGTGTAATGTTCTCGCTAATTCTTATGCGGCATTTCTAACCGATCCAGTGAAATCAATTCAGCCTTGATGAGTATGGTTACCACTTGTATTAAACTCAAGGGGAATTACACCTACTAAGATCTGGGCTGAAATTAGCCTAATCGTTCCACAACGATAGCCTCCTATGGTGAAATAAAGAATATCATTTAAATAAATATAATGCCGGCACCTCGACAGATAAAATACAGATACGTTGGCAAGGGGAGGTAACAAAACAATATTGTTAGCTGAGGCCAAGAATTTAGCAAGATTATAAAAGGGACTGGAGACATGTAATTGCTAACAAGAATATCTTGAGTTATGATGGTTAATGCTAATAAAACTTTTGGAAGGAACATTAACCTCATCTTAAGCCAGGGCTGGGCTATATGCAGCCCTGAGGCCAGATCCGGCCCACCTAACATTTAGATTTGGCCCACGGACTGCCTCTGGCTGCTTTCTATTAATATCCTGTTACCCGAGCCACCAAATTTCCAGGTGATGGCTCAGGCAGCAGGATCTTATTTGGATGGCTCCCGGTCGTGGCGCTACCAAGCCGTGAGCCTTTGAAATAGCCGCAGCAGACACAGGCGGCTGTCATGCAAGGCAATAGTGGTGGGGCTAGGAGCCGTGAGCCTTTTGCTGTGCTTTTACTTCAAAGCTTCTGGCCCCAGACCACTTTGGGGGAAGACTAGTTCCAAGCCCCGCCCCTTCCTCCCCAGGCCCCGCCAGTTCCAGGGGGGCGGAGCTGGCCCGTGACCATGTACCAAAATTCATGAAGTGTCCCCCCTCCCTCCGTGAAAATTATTTCCCACCCCTGTCTTAAGCCAATTTTCTGAGATCTAATGTGGGGGTTGATTACCCCATATGTGTTACTGTGGGGTTTTTATAGCATCCATGAATGCATCTGGCACTGGGCAGCGGACAGGGTTACAGCAAGGTCCTGATCCAGTCTGGCACCTCCTACATTCCCAACTGCCACTTGTGGCATCTTTTGTGAGAGAGTATAAATTAAAATGAAACAGGCTGCCATTTGGGCCGTTCCAGCTATCTGAACGCTCACAACATCCTGTTCCTAACGCAGAACAACACAATCTCCATCATGCAAGGACAGAGCAATTTCTGCCAGGCACTCGAGTGCCAAAACCATTCATCACTTTAAAACTGGCTCTAATTGGCACTTCCACCAGCTGTCAGATTCTTTACCAGAAGCCAGAAACAGACTGGGCCAGGATCCTGGGCAGACTGAAAGTACACTGGCTGGTTTAGTCAATAGCCTGCATTCTAGCCCAGCAATCAGCTAAAAATTATGACATCTCATAAACTACCAGAGACAGCTAAGGGTCCCAGATTTCCAGCATTTTATATATCATCATTTAATCGATAATGTAGTGCTTTCTAATTTGTTCTAGCCCCGATGACTTTGAAGACACCAGACCTTAACAAGCATAGACTCCTAGTCTCCTAGGGCTGGAAGATACCTCAGGAGGTCATTGAGTCCAGCCCCAAAGCAGGACCAACCCCAATTAAATCAACCCAGCCAAGACTTTGTTCAACCGGGACTTAAAAACCTCTAGGGATGGAGATTCCACCACCTTCTTAGGGACCCCATTCCAGTGCTTCACCGCCCTACTAATGACATAGTTTTTCCTAATATCCAACCTAACCCTCTCCCACTGTAACTTGAGACCATTGCTCCTCGTTCTGCCTTCCGTCATTACTGAGAACAGCCTCTCTCCACTCTCTTTGGAACCTCCCTTCAGGTAGCTGAAGGCTGCCATCAAATGCCCTGTCACTCTTCTCTTCTCCAGACTAAATAAGCCAAATCCCTCACCTTTTCCTCGTAGACCATGTGTTCCAGCCACCTCACCATTTTGGTTGCCCTCCGCTGGACCCTCTCCAATGCATCCACATCTTTTCTATAGAGGGGGCCCAGAACTGGACACAGTAATCCAGATATGGCCTCACCAATGCTGAATAAAGGGGAATAACAACTTCTCTAGATCTGCTGGCAATGCTCCTCCTAATGCACCATAATATGCCATTAGCCTTCTTGACTACAAGGGCACACTGTTACTCATTCACTGTAAGCCCCAGTTCCTTTTCTGCTGATCTGCTACTTAGCCAGATGGTCCCCAGCCTGTAACAGTTCTTGGGATTCTTCCATCCCAAGTGCAGGAGTCTGCACTTGTCCTTGTTGAACCTCAGCAGATTTCTTTTGGCCCAATCCTCCAATTTGTCTAAGTCACTCTAGGACCCTATCTCTGCCCTCCAGCATATCTACCTCTCCCCCTATCTTAGTGTCATCCACCAACTTGCTGAGGGTGCAATCCATCCCCTCATCCGGGTCATTAATAAAGACGTTGAACAAAACCGGCCCTAGAACCGATTCTTGGGGCACTCCTCTTGAAACCGACCACCAACCAGACATCAAGCCGTTGATCACTACCTGTTGGGCCTGACAATCTGGCCAGCTTTCTATCCACCTTCTAGTTCATTTATCCAATCCATACTTTCTTAACTTGCTGTCAAGAATACTGTGAGAGACCATATCAAAAGCTTTGCTAACATCAAGATATATCACATCCACCAACTTCCCCATGTCCACAGAGCCAGTTATTCCAACATAGAAGCTAATCAGATTGGTCACATCACTCTGACTCTCCTTTTGTTTCCTTTACTCCACATTTCAGCTACAACCTAATTTAAGTCACTGCACCTTGAAATCTAAGACCTTCCAGCCACTGGATCTGCAATTAAGGTGAGGGCACCTGCTCCCAGGCTGCTCATATGACCTGTCAGACACCTTGCAGCAATGTGACACTCTGAGGGGCAGACATTTTACTTCTTCCGAGAAAGGAGATCAAAGAAAGAATTAAATGCTCCATTGTTGAGAATCAGCAAGGGACAAAGGCATCCTCACCAACAAAAAATCTCTTTTGGATGGTAATATCTGACCCTACAGCTGAAGGATGATTGCTGAAACAGATTTTTGCAATATAATGAGGACATGTTATGAGTCATCAAACAAACACTACTAAAAGCCAGAAAATGCCACCGATCCACCAGAAAAATGCCTGGTTCTTGGCTAACGTACCACAGAAATCAATTCAGTCCATGCCAGGGGAGGAGGGTTGGAAAAAAATAGAGGTATCGAGCATTATTCAGACTGGGCAGTATGTGTTTGTAGCTATGTGGCTGTTTGAAGCATTTTCCTCTCAAGTTCTCAAAACCCAGAATAATTGGTTGTAACGAAGTCGTAGATTTCAGAACTATGTGCCCACCTACACACCCACTCATCAATTTGCTGGAAATAGTGACACTGGATTTTAATACCAACATTGTTTTTTTAAATATATCAGTATTAATTAGATAAATGGCCTTTCTTGCCTCTGCATTATGATTGGCTTGTTCAACTTGAGCTGTCTTAGAAACTTGGCGATTGGTGTCAACACTGATGATATGTTGGTGTCTATGTAAATGTCACTTGATCGCTAGAGATGTTCTCTCCAGAACCCCCAAGACCAGTAAGCAGAGGTCTAACATGCTGCCCTGCATGTACATGTGTTGCATAGCTGGGAAATGCAACAGCAGATTTATATCAGGGATGGGCCTGCAGAAGAATCTGAATTTTCCCAATGTCTGGGTGCTGGTCAGATTCTGGTGCATCTCATTCTTGTACGTGAAGCTAGAATTATGACATATAAACCTGTTTATTAATCTAGAATTTCTAACATGAACCTTTGGAGGTGCTTAAGGGCTTAATGGCCCAGTGCTCAAGGCAACGATGTGGGAACCATGTTGTTTTTCCTATAAATCCAATCTGGTTTTGGTCCTACAATGTCACGTGACCATGCCACTTGGTGCTGGAATCCATTTGAATCTGGTATTTTCCCATGGGGATGGGAAGAATCAAACAAAGAGTTCCTGCCTGGGGAAATTTTATGTAAAGAGAGGGAAACAATCAACCTTTTCTTCAGCTGGCTTTTGAAAACTGTCTCCGCACCCCAAGAGAATATGCAAGAGACTGTTAGACCCAGAACAGAGTAAATATCAGCTCTGTCTTGAAGGACTTGACCTGAAATAAGGACTAGGGTGAGAATCAGGATCTATAACAATCTCTCTTAGTGCATTAGGATTAGCCGGTGTGTTTTATTTCAGATTAGTAACTTGCTTTGATCTGTCTGTTTTCACTTGTAAACATTTAAATCCTACTTCTTACACTTAATAAAATACTTTTATGTATTAGCAAGCCCAGTGTAAATAATTATTACCTGGGGAGAGGGGAAAGCCACAGCTGTGCATACTTCTCTTTCATTGATAAAGAGACAACTTTATAAGCTTTCTCTGTACAAAACTTTTATACAGAGGAAAATGGATTTATTTGGGATTTGGTCACTTTTAGGATTTATGTTCCTGGATGTTGTCAATGGACTTATATCTGAGTCCTGCCAGAGCTCAGTTGTTTCAGCTTCTGGGTTATTCTGCTAGCGACAGAGACAGACAGACAGACAGACAGACAGAGAGAGAGAGAGAGAGAGAGAGAGAGTGTGTGTGTGTGTGTGTGTGTGTGTGTGTAACCCCAACTCTGTGCCTTGGCTGGGGGAGATCAGAGCTTTTGGACAGGTGGTGAGGCACCATTGAGGATAGGTAGGCCAGCTCAGAAGTATGAACAGCACACTGGGTGATAGTCCCACGGGGACCCCTCTGACCCAATCTGCCACAACCTTAATTAAAGAGGCTGCAACATGCATTCAATACGGGCTAAGTGGATGTCAGTCTCTGCTACTTAGTCCTGGCTTGCTCAGACACTGCCCAGAAGATGCATCAAGAATTAAACAGATCTTGGCCCCTTCTACGCAAGAAGATTGGTTGTTTGCACTAGAAGCAACTGCAGCTGGACTTCTCTTTGTCCTCTCGTACCCCAGGGCTCAGAAGAGAGCAATGATGCCTCTTCAAGTAATAAGTGCTTTGAGGTGAAGCAAATAAGACTAAATCCAGGGAACACGCAGTCAGCATGGGGGGTCTCTGGGCCAGGGAGATGAGCAAGCAGAAAACAGACAAAGAGGTCTGATTGCATTTTGCAAGTAGAAGGGTGGAGGGTCTAAGAAGCACAACCACGTTAGTATCTCAGCAGACTAGAAAGGGATGGAAAAAGTCACCCTCACTAAGAATTTGCTCCCAACTAATGGAATTTGCTCTCCCTTCCAGCCTACATAAGGCAGCAATGTGCTTCTGCCAGCAATTGCTGTGCCCTTGACTTTCACGGCACCCAGGCTTGCTTTGCAGAAGCATCTATCTCTGCCGTTGCTGCTTTTCCGGTACACACACCCGTTGCACGAGGAGGGCATTAAAAGCTTTTCTGGGGAGGACACGACCTCTGAAAGTCTCCCTAACGAACGTGTTCTACATGCTTTGATGGAAAGGAGGAGAGGGCCCAGGGAGCCGTTAGATTTCATTGCTAGTTTAATACAGCAATTGAGGAAAGGGCCGGGCTGCTGG